AAGTAAATCAGGGAGATGTACCCTAAGGGCTTCTCGCAATTGGGAAATTGTAGAGGGTCCTCCCAAACCTCTACAATTCCACACACATACTTTCATTGAGACCCTTGGGACCAATTATGGCTGGTCTCCTCCACCACAGTTTTCTCAGTGTTTTCAGATCTTTTTGATTTCTTAGAACTACCTTCAAGATTACCAATAGCAGGGGAATTTTGAAAACATTCTTCCAAAGATCTTTTACTTAAAACAGAGTTCACAATTAAAGGAGCCACATCAGTTTTAACAGTGTCAACATCCATAATAACAGCATTATTATGAATATTTGAACCCTGTTTTTTAATGATAGGTTTCCTTTTTTTAAGAACAGTCCTACTTTCAGAGGAAGCAGGATGCACCAGAACTTCAACCAGTTGGGGTTCACTCACTACATTATTGGTTTTACTAGCCGTAAAATTTTGGGGTAAATGATCAGAGCTAGTCATAATCTCTTTACCTTCCAGATTTAAGCCCACACAGCCACTCTGGCCAAGATCATTAACATGGACCTCAGGAGGAGTAATCCCTCTACCTGAAGTTTCCTCAACTCCCATTCTACCACATTCAGACCCTAATTCTTGATAAGAAGTTTTAATAGCCTCTCCCCCACTCATACTCCCTGAACCAGAAGCTTTAAAAGACTTAGACTCACTAAAAAAACTAGCACCCACTTTCAGCCATTCTCCATATTGACCCAAATTAAGCACATTTCCCGCAAGGTCATTCTTTTTAGAGTAGCAATTCTTGTCTATATGACCTATGAGACCACAGTAGAAACAAAAAGATTGGAGATTCTCGTACCTGAAATTAACCCACCGATTTTCCTCTCCTAATTTAATTTTGGTGCCTCTTGGAATAGGCTCTTTAAGATTCAGTTCCACTTGCACCTTCAAAATATGCCCATTAGAACTTTCAGCACTTGGCACTAGAACATCAATCACTTTCCCTATCAGCCCTCCTATTTTCATTCCCAATTCCAAAGTCAACCAATGTAGCGGGAGATTGTGGATTTGAACCCAAATTTTAATCTTTTCATCTTCTTCTAGAAATTCTTGACTCTCTGGATGCCATTCTTTGAGCAGGATATACTGCCCATCAAAAGTCCAACTTTTTCCTTGTAATATCCTTTCCTTGTCTTCATTCGACTGGAACAAAAATTAGAACTTGTTCGGGCCAATATTTTTAATGAAGAACTGCTCCTTTGTCACCCATATATTGTTGAGAGTTGCCTTCAATCCACTGTAGTTTGCTTTCTTCTCCCCATAGATCTTACCCAGCAAACTCTGCTGACATCCTTTTAACCCTACTTCAATGTCTGCATCCGAAATCTCAAGCCCCTTGTCCTCTTTCTCCGACAACCGAAACTTTCGTAGTTTATCAGACAAATCTTCAGCCATACTGCCCAAGAGCATAGAACCATCCACTACTCCAAGAATCGAAAACACTCACCACAAAATCAAGGGAACAGGTCAAAAGAAATAGAAATAGAAATGAAATGCGATCTCAAAACAGCCAAGAGTGCAGACATACATTAATGCAACATAGAAAGGAAATAGCCATAGATGGACACTAAAACCCTAATGCCAAAACACGAAGCAAGAACAAAATACAGATCAAAGAAAAATCTAAAATCTGGATGCAACGAATGGAAGATAAGAACTAGAAGATCCAAACCCTGGAACTATGCCTCTAGAAAGAGAAAATATCCAACAGAGGAGAACTTTCCAAAGTGAAATGTGTATACTTATACAATAATCAAAACTTAAGTAAAGAGATTGAAAACAACAATATATGAATTTTAAAATAAGTATATAAATCTTAGAAATGTTACTCTAACCAATGAAAACATGACACCTGGATAATATAAAGATTTTTATTGGAAAAACATCATAGGATGATTTGACTTGTGTGAAACTACAATTTCCATTAAAAATATTGCAAACAATAGTATAGGATGATTTGACGTGTGTGAAACACTGAAACCACAATTTTTAATAAAAATATTGAAGAAAAAGTATATAAATCTTAGAAATATTATTCTCGCCAATAAAAAGTATGTACATATATGAATCTGAGAAATATTATTCTAGCTAATAAAAAACATAACACAAAGATATTATAAAGATTTCACATGGAAAAACAGGATAGAGTGATTTGACTTGTATGTGACCACAATTTCAATAAAAAGATTGAAAATAATAGTAAATCTTAGAAATGTTATTCTAGCTAATGAAAACATGACACACATATATTATAAAGATTTCATATGGAAAAAACAGGATAGGTGAAACCACAATTTTTCGTAAAAATATTGAAAATAACAGTATATGAATCTTAAAAATGTTATTCTAGCTATATGACACATAAAGATTATAAAGATTTCAAATGGAAAAACACCATAAGTGATTTGACGTGTGTGAGACCACAGTTTTCAGTAAAAGATTGAAAATAACAGTGTATGAATCTTAGAAATGTTAATCTAGCTAATTATAAACATTCGTGTGCTGTGAAGTCAATCTTATATATACAACAAATAAATTTATCATAATTTTTAAATACTTAAATAATACTAATATAATTTTATTATTATAGTAAGTTTATTTGTTGCATATATAAGGTTGACTCCACTATGGAGTCAACTGTTGGCTTCATAACAAAACCGTTATAAATATAACACACAAATATTAAANAAAAAAAAAAAAAAATCTTGTGATTTGAGAATTCAAATGGTTGATGGATTTAAAGATTTTTTTCTTTTTGTTTTACATTGAGGGTTTAGAATTTGAATTAATTACACAACAAAATTCAAGCAACGGGAAATTTTTCTACATCACCATTATTTAGCGCTCCAAAAATTAAGTTAGGTGTCTGTGATGAGGAACCGGGCCAATCGAGCGGAACCTGGACAAAGACATGTTGTTTTGCAGCAGTTAATTTCAGTTTCCATTCAAATTCTTAGGATGTTTTCCATGATGGTTTTGCATGTTAGTTTTCATGCAGTTTGTGTTAGTTTGTTAGCTTTTGTTTTTAAATTTTAAATCAATAGGTATTAGTTATCAAATTTTAATAAACCGCAGGTTAGTATTGAAGAGTGGGGTTGTTCTTAAATGACTCATGTACTCTGTTTCTTCCATTTTTGTTACGTTTTTTTTTATTGTTTTGTTTCGCTTTTTTTCCGGTTTTAGGTTTTTTCGTTGATTTTTAGTTCATTTTGTAGTTTATTGCGTGTTTTCCTTTATTTTGGTTTCTTTTGTGTTTTTTCGGTTTTTCTTCGTTTTTTGTGTGCAGGTCGGAAGCCCCGTGAGGAATCTATTTAGCCCGAACATCGACCGGGCAATAATGGTTGCGTAGAGGGGTTCGTTAGCGACATATAGGAAAAAGCGGAGCTCAATTTCGAGCTTGGACGAGTCCAGACGGCCCCTAAATGCGAAGTCGCGCGAAACACGTTCAGTGTGTAGGTCATGAGCTTTGGGAGAATATGATTTCAAGAATAGCCATGCAAGCATGATTGAATAGAGGGGTTCCTTACCGACGCATAGGAAAAAACAAAACTCAATTCTGAGTTCGGACGAGCCCAAACGAGCCCGAAATGCAAAGTAGCGTAGCTGATCCGGTAGTCCCGCGCGCCGCGGCTCGGCAACCCTCCGCGGCGCGGCACTATGCCCAGCCACGCCCTCGCCACGCCGCGAGACCCCTACAGAGCCTCCCAGGCTTCTCCCACGCTACGAGACCCCTATAAAGCCTCCCAGATTTCTCCCACGCCGCGGGACAGCTCCACGCCGCGCCCAGCAGTTCCTCCACGCAGCGGGACAGCTCCACGCCGCGCCAAGCAGCTCCCTTGCGCCATGCTGCGCCCCACGCTGCGGCCACCTTGCCCTGCTGCTATAAAAACGCGTCCAGAACTCATTTTTCGCTCTCTCTCTCGGCTGGGGACGAACCCTACCCCAAAAATCGCCGCAACTCCTCTCCTTCTTCCTTTTCTTCTTCTTCTTCTTCATTTTTCTTCTTCTCTTCACCTTTCTTCTCCATTTTCTCTTTTCTTCTTCTTCTTCTTCTTCTTCTTCTTCTTCTCTTCTTCTTCAATTTTCTTTCTTTTTTTCTTTCTTTTCCATTTTAGGGATTAAGCTTGTATTTTGGATTCAACACTTGGATTGAGATTAATTGTAAGTTTTTTCTTCTTGTTTAATTCATGAAAATGGTTGAATTGGGAGAAATGATTGTTTGTGTTGAATTTATTTTGCGTAGCTAATTCCGATTGCAAGGGATGGGGGATGATTGTTCTTGTTTAATTTGTAATTGTTGGGCTTTAATTTGTTCGTTCTTTTGCGAGTTGTTTTAATTAGGAATTGTTGAATTCTTGCTTGATAATTTGATATAACCTAAGAGTGACACTTAGGTTAATTTATTGATATAATCGAAGAGTGACACTTCGATTTTGCGATTGGAAATGATTGAATATTGATTTGTTGAGTTAGGGTTTGTTGATTCTACATGATTAGTTGATTAAACACCTTCTAATGTAATTAGTGACGTTTAGAACCGATAGGGAAGGAGTCGTAGAACTAGGCTCGTACGAGGTAGACATGTTCGGAGACGTATTGTCTATAGGTTTCGGATTGAAGTACACGCTTGTCGATGTCCCTTCCCATGTTACGAAGAGTTATTGAGATTGGATTATTAGCCGGTGTTGTATGCCCGAACTTGCTCGTCTGTGTTCAATCCCATGTTATGAAGAGTTATTGGGAGCGAACCGCTAGATGTTTAAGCGAGAGCATCAATCTTGAACCGAACGATTAATTGCCCGACTTTATGTTTTGAACTTGAATTAATTATCCCCGATTCCCTAGCTTCATTATCTTTGGGTCATTCATATTTTTAGGTAGATTTATGTTTTATGTTATTTATTAGTTAATAATCAAAAAGTCAATCTTTTGATTAGAATATTCAGGATTTATTTTGCTTTTATGTGTTACCAACATCAACGCTAGATTCCGAACCGCCTTCCTCGAGAGATCGACCCGGGGAACGAATCTTTTGATTTGGTACTCGGTAAAAAGAAAACAATTTTTGCTACAACAAATTTGGCGCCGTTGCCGGGGAGGGCAAGTAGGATATTTAGTTTTGGCGTTTGATTTTATTTTCTGTGTTTTTTTTTTGTTTTGTGTTTTTCGTGTCCGTGTTCTTTGGTTGCATCTTTGTTTTTCTCTTTGTTTTTTGTTTTTGTTATCTTTTTATTTTCTTTCTTTTTCGTGGCTTGCGTGGTTGTTTTTGTTCTTGTGTTCAGGGATTTTGAGTGAAAGGATCAATGAACTTGAGCTACATGTTCTCCTCACCGCACAACCTTCACTGGAATAATGGGTCGAGCTACGGTTCGTGGGAGTATGGTCAGGCATGTGCTTTCCCTTACGAGCAACCGTGGTATCCGTTACCGTTCGAGCAATCATATGAGTCCCCTGTGGACTCCTCGGATGACAATGCTAAGCTTGATCGGATTCTCGATTTTCTGACCTCCCAAGCCGCCTGAATTAAAAATCTTGAGGCCAGAGTCGAGGACCTAGCGGAAAGTATCCGAGTTATGGTCCGAGTTTACAATTCTTCCTCTGATTCCCTCAAGGATAATGAACATCGGGACAACGCTTTGACGGATGATGAAAAACTCGATCTCCTTCTTGCTCATATGTCGGCCCAAACAACTCGACTGGAGAAGATGGAGGGTGTATGCACTCGGTTGGTGGTGCAACTTGATGGTATAATAGAACACGTTCAGTCCATCGAGCCACAAGTCGATGAGCCCATTATCAATGTCAATCAGATTCACGTTGGCGAGGCTGAAGAAGAGAAAGATGCACTCCTAGAGATTGAGGGTGATATTCTGATGGAGGAAACTTCTGGGTTCAAATTCGAAAGTCCCTCACTTGAGTCATCCCTCCGCACCGTCGAGAATGCTCCATTTAACTCGACATGCTCCACGGACACTCTCGTATTCTAAGAGGTTGACTGTGGAGGTTCGATGAGAAGAGCTCTGGGCCGTCTCGTGACCATCTTTGGTGCTCATGCTCGGTTCCACAAGAACATTGCCACCAGAGCCCACCAGGCCTGCGGTCATGACATACTTTCCGTGCTGCCACCCCTTGAGAATACAAAGGCGTGGCATGATCGTCACTTCTTTTTGGATCCTGGTTCATTTGTACAGGTTTCGTCAAGCTAATGACGTTAAACAAGCGCTTCTTGGGAGGCAACCCAAGTGATTTATTGCTATCTTAGTTATTTTCTTTTTGATTTTTAGTTTTATCTTTGAATAATTGGAGTTCTGGAGTTTTGTGGTTTTCTGGGCAGGACGTATCGAGGACTGGGTTGAGCGTAGGCAAAAGGGTTGCACGTGAATGCTTATTTCCCTCGAGGCTACTTCGGTTTGTACACCTTTTATTTTTTTATCTTTATGATGTTGCTTCTTTCTCGTGTCTTTTCTTGTGAGTTTTATGTTCTTGTGTTTGTTGCTAGTATCGGTTCATGATATGAAATTGCTAGGTCTTGTTATTTGACTTCATGTTGTGTGTTGAAGCAATAAGGACATTGCCTCATTTTAAGTGTGGGAGAGTTTATTCAGATTTTGCATGCTTATGTGGTGGACCGGTCTAGTGTAGGTTTTGTGTGTTTTGGAGCCTGTACTTTGGAAATTTCAAGATTAGTTAAGAATACTGGTATAGCGTCTCTCCATGCAACAGCTTAGCACCACATATCTCCTTACGCAAATTCGCCACCCTTGATGCCGGAAAGTATCGTTGGAGAAAAGCTTTCTCCATGTCAGCCCACGTGGTGATGGACCCCGACGGTAGGTAGTATAGCCAATCTTTTGCTCGGTCCTTCAATGAAAATGGAAACGCCCGAAGTTTGATATGCTCCTCGGTCACCCCAGTGGGCTTCATTCCGGAACAGACAATGTGGAATTCCTTCAGATGCATGTGAGGATCCTCGCCTGAGAGGCCATTGAATGATGGCAATAAGTGTATCGGGCCAGACTTAAGCTCGAAGGTAGCGTCATTCACCGTCGGAAATGTTATGCACAAGGGTTGTTGAAGAAGTCGGGGATTGGCTAGTTGCCTTAACGTACGTTCTTGCTCTCCTGCCATTGCTTCTTCCTCGCTCGAAGAATCAGAATATTCAGTGTTATCGGGCTCGCTGGAAGAACTATGTTAATCGGCAATATCCGGATAGTCTTGCTCTCGGTTTTCTTGCGATTCCTTTGTCAAACTTGCTAGCCTCCGATTTTTCTTATCCTTCCTTGTGATTTCCGAGTTGTATGTCAATGGTTTCTGTCCAGAAGACCTCATGTTCATTCACCTGAAAAACAACTAAAACTATAAGCACCAAATGTAGCAAAATACGTCGAAAGAAATGAAATTCACACCTATTCTGCACAGCGAGTATGGGGTCTGAATATTCTATTGGACAGAATATGGAGAGACCCTGTACTACTGGGAACAGAAAATGAAAAGAAAAGAAATAAAAAGTAACAGGGGGGGTGGAAATTTGATCTAACAACTAAGAATAAAATTAAAATAATTATGAAAACTAAACCTAATTTCAATTAATGGAAAATAAATTAACAACTCAATTCCGTTACTTCCCCGGCAACGGCGCCAAAATTTGACCGCGCGTCGCGACACGGTCAAAATATAATCATGTAGCAACCCGCCGCGACCAGATGCTCCACCTCCGGCGATTTTCCTATTCGCGCAGCAGCAACCCCGCGAGGCTCTTCCCGGCGATCCCTGTCCGCGAGTTCGCATCGCGATCTTTTTCCGTGAGCCACAGCAGCCGTCTGCCGCTGCTCCGCCCCTTCACGAGTCTCAGGCCGCCATGAACCAGTAGGAGTCCCCCCGTCGTCCCTCTCCCCAGCAGCGAGTCACGACTGGAGTGTTCCTTTTCGATCAGTGATCCCGTTTTCCCTCTTTTGTGTGCAATTTCTGGTGGCCACCAGTAGCGGGTTCCGTTCGTTACCCCGTCGGCCTTTGTTTAGTAGCCCGAACAACAACGGCAGCCCTTTCGGGCCCGTGCGCGAAGAATGGCATCCATTCGAGGCTTTTATCGAGCAGCCGTTCCCTTCAAATCTCCTTTGAGCAGCCCGTACGTGCGAGAAGAGATACGGGCCGATCCTTAGCCGAGAGCCAAGAACCGTTCGAGGCCGTTCGATTTTCCTTTTCGAGTATCGATCCCGAGAACGGTAATTCAGGAGTCCAGCCTCGACCTATTCCAATTGCTTTGAGTTATTATCAATCCGGAATCCAGGTGGGTTGTTATTCTAAAATTAACTTTGCATATGTGTTTGTTTGTTTGAATGTGTTAAACCGGTATGATCTAAGTACGCGTGTGAGCATGTAGCCTATCGATAGCCATCGGTACGGTTGTCCCCGTAGATACGGTTACCCTTATGAGGCAAATCTCTTTAAGTCCTTCAGATAAGGCCGTGTCCTTACGTGGCATGCACTCCCGTATTATAGATATGGTACGGCTGAGCGTAGATGTGCACATGAGTGAGCCATAGCGATGGCAAGGGTCATAGACATGACTAGAGATGAGACAGTATTTATTATTGTTTATGTTCATGCTGCGACCATACCATATTAACATATTCTGAGTTATTCATATGCATAGTGTGAGTACGATATTTAACTGTACTCACTCCCACCTGCTCGTAACTGATGCAGGTTAAGCAGTTGGCGGGTGACGAGACAAGACGGGTGGTGGTCAGGCTTTTATTTATTGCTTATTTATTTGCTTCCGCTCATTTAAGAAACTCATGTTGAGAAATTTTGAATTATGTCGTTTGAACTCGAGAATTATGAATTATCTTTTGAGAAGTTGGAACTTAATGAATGCTAGTTTGGTTATGACTTATTATTCATGCATGATGTCTGTATCTGATGTATTGGCATTTTCGGATAAAAGTTTTTGGTAAAATAAGTAGCGCCCACTAAGTTTTATTTAATTGAGATTT